ACTGAGCGCGAACGCACACACACGGTCGAAAGGCCGGTGGTTCGAATCATGCTCGCTAAAAACCGTCTTATACAAACGAACCGTCTCAACCAAACAAATCGTCTCACACACACGGACTAACAGACATAAACCTGTTCAAACCTCGTCTCAACCAAAAAACGGCAAACAAACAAAAAAACACACACACAAAGCCCCTGGCCGGTTCCGCCAACCGGACCGTCTCTTTTTGTTCAAATAAAATTAAATTTTTAAAAAAACAAAAAATTGGGTTTTTAATGACGACGATTACAATAAGGGCAATGACTAAATTAAAACTTTCATTTTTTTAAATTTTACAGGTTTTATGATGACTTTAGACTCTTAATGGCATCAAAACTTGAAAAATTTTTATGATTAATGTTTATTTTCAATTGTACGAAATGTAAAGGTAGCTGCAAAACATTCAACAGGTAGGTGAGCGCAGCTATCAGCAGCACCGGCAGCCAGGTATATAGCAGTCCTTTTTTTGTTTTTGTTTCCTTTCTCTCTTATGATTTTTTATGATATTTTTTCAAATGAGCACGCTTAAAAAGCTCCCACCTGCATTCTCACTTGGACGGGGCTGGTGTGGGCTAACAGGCTGAAACACTGGTTTGTCTGTCGCTAGTTCGACAGTTCGAATCACGCTCTAACACAGCCAGCTCTAAAACTCGGCTGCCCTTAACCTAACCAGGTTAACTGACACCGAAATGCTCTAACCATGCCAGCCCTGTCCCCTCTTATTGCTAAAAAAACTGTTATTTTAAAAAGTTAAAAATAAAAAAATTACTGCAATTTTTAAAAGTAGCTTATTTTAATAAATTAAAACACCGGTTAAAATGAAAATTGAAATAAAAAGTACAAATATTAAACTTTCAAGTTTAAATTGTTTGTTGTCCGAGTGATCGTTTTTCACAATTCACAATAAAAAAGGAATTTAAAATTGTGTGTTGTTTAAGTAGAGTATTTTAAAGTTGATTTCTTTGGCATTTGGACTTTGCCCCAAAAGTCCAAAACCTNAAAAGTTAAAAATAAAAAAATTACTGCAATTTTTAAAAGTAGCTTATTTTAATAAATTAAAACACCGGTTAAAATGAAAATTGAAATAAAAAGTACAAATATTAAACTTTCAAGTTTAAATTGTTTGTTGTCCGAGTGATCGTTTTTCACAATTCACAATAAAAAAAGGAATTTAAAATTGTGTGTTGTTTAAGTAGAGTATTTTAAAGTTGATTTCTTTGGCATTTGGACTTTGCCCCAAAAGTCCAAAACCTTTGTCGCCCCAACCTGATTGAATAAAATAACATTTGTAAATTTAAAATAGTTTTACAATTAAATTATCTCATACTCGATCCATAACTGTTACGGATAATCCAGTAGGATTTACCATCGATTGACGAAGTTCCATACCCAATCAACACTGTTGCATGATTGATAAGCTTAGTTTTTTATCTTTGAGAAACTGAAGATTTAATAAACACTTTTTTGTCGTAATTTTTAAACTCATTTTCACCCGCTACAATTTCTATATAAAGAGGGCCGTATTCCTTTAGAGCACTTTTCACCTTTTCGGCATTAGAATCCGCTGGCAGCTGGCATACTTCAAATGCTCCTGGGCGAATAAACCGCTTCACTGATGAGCGGAGACACTTAGTGCCTAGTTCGGCGTAGTACGGATAACTTTCAGTGAGGGCAATTCCATTCTGGCGTATGTACTCTAGTGCCTCATCACCCCGACACCCATTGCAACCATCACATCCGGCGTATCCGTACTTTTCGTGGGCACAGTCGACCAGCTCCTGTTTGGCAAGGCTCACACCTTTCCGGTGACCAGTTTTCCAACTGTAAACGCCCTCCACGACGCCAGCAGCGGCAAATGCCCAGCAACTGCCACAGTTCCTTTTAATAAGTCCTAGAAAATACCAGTAAGCTGTAAAAGCGAAAAAGTATATTTATTAAAAGTTTTAAAAAAGTTATGTTAACCTTGATTCTCAGCAGGTCCAAAGAATTTAAAATAATTAAGCTCCTTAGGAAAACTGGTGAAATCAGCAGTGAACGGCGCAATGGGTTCAGGGTTTGAGTTGTTGCTTGTAATAGACAATTTGCCTTCATTTAAAAAAGAATACTCTTCTTCTGACTAAAACAAATTAAAAAACATTTTTAATTATAAACATATAATTTTAACAATATTTTTTAAAGTTTGCTTACAAAATCAGT